TGGATATAATCTTTTTCGAAACAATTTTTCAAACATTTTAGAGAATATTGGCAATAAGCTAATTGGTCTATATGATGATACCATATTTTCTGGTTTGCCTGGTTTCGGTATCATTGTTATTTTAGCACATTTCCATTTCTTAGGGAAGTGTGAAAGCCTTAATATGGAATTAAATATAAGTGTCAGGAACACTATTCCTTTTTTTGGTAACGCTTTTATGACTTTATAATCTATTAGGTCATATCCTGGAGTTTTCTAATTTATATTTTTTACCTCAGTCGTTACTTCCTGAAACTTGAAAGGTTTTATTGGTCTACACATTTGACACGGGACGTCTAAAAACTCCATTATTTCTAGTTTATGGCCATTATCGCATAGATCAAATGGAACAAAACATTGTTCTAAATAATTCTTAAATGCTACAGCTTTATCTTTATTTGACCTGCACCATGATCCATCAGAATTTTTTATAGGAATATTTCTCCTCTTTGGTTTCTTCAGATATTTGGTAGCCCTCCATAAGTTGTGCTCATTATTTCCGTTCGGATCGAGATTGCTTAAAAATTTTCCAATTGATTCATTTTTATAATCATGTAGACGTGTTTTTAATTGAAAAGTTGCTCTGTTTAAGTTGGTTTTGTCAGCAGGTTGTCTTGAATTTTTCCATACTCGCCTTAAACGCCTTTTTTCTCTGATCATTCTTCTTATTTCAGCAGTGATATAAAATCCAGGTTGATTCGTACTGTTTTTTTCTGGTGTGCTTAATTTTGCAGCAGTATGTATTAAATTAATAAATGTTTCAACAGCATTTTCCAATTCTTGATCATTTTTTATTGATACATTAAGATCTAAATTACTATTAATACAATTTTGAAACATATTAATATCAGTATGCGATGTAATTAGAACTTTATTTTCATGTTTTCTTATATTTCTGGTTCTAAAATTTGCGATGATTGGAGTATGATCTGAATTCAAATCATCAGATGCAGTTATACTCATTTTAGATTGACATATGCCAGAGAAAACAAAGAAGTCCAAAAGATCTGGAGTTTTGTTTGCGTCTGTGGGCCAGTACGTAGGACTGCCAGTAGATAAAACATTGTATTGGTTTGCTGAAATACATTTATAGAGCTCTCTTCCTTTTGGATTACAAAGTCGAGATCCCCACCATAAATGCTTAGCACTGAAGTCGCCGCCAACTATAAATTTGTTACCGAGGCTCTTAAAGAAATTTTCGTATTGGCTAAATTTAAAATTGAATCTTGGCGGAAAGTAAACCGAGTATATTGATATTTTCGAATTTTCACATACAATATTAATTCCAGCAGCTTGTAAAGGTTTGTCAATTATGAGTACTTTTTCTTCGTATTTAATTTTAGATTTTATTATAATGGCCGCACCAGCATGAGCACGATCATCCGGGTGATTGGCACATATAATATCGTAATCCTTTATGGTGAAATACGATTTACTTGTAAAATGTGTCTCAGATATCAATAGGATGTCGATGAAGTTATTGTGAAGGAAAAGTTCTATTTCATTTTTGTGATTTGAAATGCCATTGGCATTCCATTCAGCAATAACAAGATCTATTTGCATAATTTAGACATAAGCATTGACATCATGTTAATTAAAGAATTGGTTAGTTCTATCTGCTTAGCTAACATCGCTTCAATTTTGCTTAGCACACTCACTTCTACATCATTTTCGCCTCTTAAGACTTGTGCGTAAGTTCCAGTATTGTTCGGTATTTGTGTATCCGCAATATTATTTTCAGTTAGACCATAGGTTTTTCTTTGAAAAGTAATAGATTTTTTCTGGACAAGCTTTTGATATAGAGGGCAACCCTTATAACTAGCTGTGTGCATATTCAAGCAGTGCACACATGTTGGCGCTGAGCTCGCTGGTTTTTTACATTCAGAAGTTGAATGGCCGAGTCCACACTTGACGCACCTAAAAGGCTTCCTGCAATACGACTTAGTATGTCCATACTCTTGGCATCTAAAACATTGGACTAAATCATCGAATCTTTTCGGAGGTTCAATAGTTACGATATTATTATACAATACGCGAATGTTGTAAATTTCTTTATTGTTTTGTTTGGGGTCTAAGTCCACAAAAAACATAGGCAATGGTTGTTTAGTTACTCGGCTTATAATATTTCTCACGCTTCTAACCTCGTGACCTTTACTTATTAGAAATGCCTTAATATCCGAAATATCCGTAGAATGATGCAAACCCTTAATAACTGCTCTAAATGCTCTTTCATTTTTAAGTTGAAAAGTATGATAAGAGATTTTGTGTTCTTCAAAGTATTTAACAATTTTACGATACGAATCAATGGTTTTGACCATTAATCGAACTTCACCCCTAAGTAAAGACTTAAAGCTAAAATCTTCTACCGGAATTACTTTACTTAAGTTATTCATCATTTTGTTCACATTTTCAACATTAGGTATGAATATTGGCGGAGGTTTTGGTACTGCTTGGTTCTGTTCATCTTTGTTGGTATCATTCTCGCTATGTGAGAGAGAGAGCGCTGAATCGATTGGACGTAGAAGGTTGGTTGTCGTCAAATTGTTTTCTCTTTGGTGAGTTACCTAAAGGCGATCCTAGTATTTTTCGTTTACTAACAACAACTTGCCAGTTATCATCGTCATTGTCAGCTTCACTGGAACCACTTGAGTGATCATCGTTGGGTTTTGCTTTATCGCTCATCGTGATAGACACTGTTGGTATTTGTTTTTGTATGTTTTGTTTGTTGTGTGATCAGTGCAAGCAATGCAGCTACTGCATGCACCGCAAACAAATTGCTTTGTTAGTGCAATTTCTTATAGTTTATGAAATGTTAAGAACTGGTATTGAGAGAAACTGTTACGGTTAAATTTGTTGGAAATTTGCTTTAATAATTTTAAAAACGAATGAATGCAATTTTGTGCGTTACCACGTCTACTCAAGAACACAGTTGAACAACGACTGAAGAAAAAATAAACAAAAATATTTTATTCTATTTATATATATATATATACTCGCAATATACTATCTTACGTTTTTTTTTTTTTTTTTTAATATTTTAAGTTTTTATCCTTTTGAAGTTGATTTACAATTGCCTGTCTGTGACGATAACTCTCATATAGAGCAACCGATGTCATCCAAACACGTTTGCATATCATATGAAGAATATCGGTCCACTCCTTCCAATACTTCAACCAAAAAAAAAAACCAAAATTTTGCTGAAAAATAAATTTATAACAGTATGCAATAGATGTACAAAATTCGACAGTAGAGAGTGATTCCGTAGACTTGGGCAAATAAAATATGTCGTTGGTTGAGATTATATATCTATTGACGACATCAATTTATATTTTTTCCTGTATTTTATCACTTTTGCTTAATATTATATTCCACTTTAAGCATATCTACTTCTTAAGCAGAAATGGTTTACTATTCCACACACATCCAGTTAGCAGTTATTACCACAAAATTATGTTAAAAAATCATTTATAATAAATTTAAGCAAACACTTTTCAACTCTCTGCCAACGGGAACATCTAGATTGCACTTCATTTTAATTTAAACAAAAAACAAAAATTGAATGAAAAAAATACTCTCTTCAAAATGTACTCACCACTGACCATTCAACTTTTGTGCATAAATATGAGAGTTGAGATTTGACAAGTTTTGAAAAAAGTTTTTCCAAAAGCCAAAGTGCTTTTGTGCATTAGCACAACAACAACCAGAACAACAAATACATTATCGCATAAATAATATTATTTTGAAATAAATCTAAACAACAATGTCGGTGGTCATGTTGTGTTAGTCAAGAGAAAATACAACATTTCCATAATTAAATGCATAAAACCAGCAGTGAAGCTGCTTTGCTATCTTCCGCCCTCCCAGGAGTGAGTCATTCAGAATAAAACTCTAAATACGTAGAATGACTGATGTCCTGTGCAGGCTACTGGATCCCTTAACAGACACTCAAGCGTTGGCCAGACACAACAACGGCTTACCTTCCTGCCGGTTGTTAAGCATCCTCTTCTATTATATTCTTTTTCTTCTCCTTACTCCTCACACAGCTGTTAACTTTGGATTTATTTTACTAAACATTGAGTCCTTGCCATGTGTTTTTATACTATGTATGAATAAATGTGTGTGTCTTTTCTTGTTTATTTGTAGATTGGACTTTCGTCCGAACCGTGGCATTTATGATTTACAAATTAAAAACACATCCTATAATCGCGACAATGGCCGCTTCGAGTGTCGCATCAAGGCCAAAGGCACCGGAGCAGATGTTCACCAGGAGTTTTACAATTTGACAGTTTTGACGCCACCTCACCCACCCATTATATCACCGGGAAATATTGCCGTTGCCACCGAGGACAAGCCACTCGAGTTGACCTGCAGCAGTATTGGCGGCTCGCCAGATCCCCTGATAACGTAAGTATCACCTAACCACTTTATGTTATTTAGATAGTTCGAGGGTAATGTCGGTCGGTTGGTCGGTCGGTGAGCAGGTGTAAATAATGTTCTTATTGCAACGGGGGAACAAAAAAATACAAGAACAACATCATCCACCAAAGGTAAGTTGATATTTTAACATTGGGGACGTTGAACGTTAGCTCTGAGCATCAGCTGTGAACAAGGGCTGTATGATGATGACGTTTTTTGTAAGGGGTTTGTTCGTAATTTGGTGTCAATACCAATGTCGCTATTGTTGTGTTAATAGCTACATGACCACAGCTTCAATAACACAGAGAACAGTGGTGTTAACAAATATCGAGGGGAAAAAAGTTTATTTTATTCAAAATTGTTTAAAAATCTGGCGCAAAGTTACTCTAAAAGTATATTAACTTTTAAAGAATATCTTCAAAATCACATTCCGATTTGTTACATTTGGCTTAAACAATAGATTGGGGAAAAATAAATCCAGGCCGGTCGTCGAAAATGCCGATAAAATCGGAGAAATGTTCGAAGTTGACCGGCATGTTAGCAGTCGTAACATCGCTCAGGAGCTAAAAATCGACCATAAAAGTGTTTTAAACCATTAACACAAAGCTGGATTTAAAAAGGAAGCTCGATGTTTGTTTAATAGAAGAAATAGGATGGATCGAATTTCCATCTGCGAAGCCTTGGATATTCCCATTCCTTGAGTTATACCCATTTCTTAAACGGATGATGACTGCAGATGAGAAATGTATCACACACGATAACCGATCGTGGTCAATGAGCAGTGAATCCTCTCAAACGGTGGCCAAACCAGAACTAACGGCCAGGAAGGTTCTGCTATGCATTTGGTGAGACTGGAAGGGGATTATTTAATATGAGTTCTACTCTACTGTCAACAACTACAGAGACGATCCGAGAACTTAAATCTCTCTTCGCATACCAAATCACAATACGATGCTACATGCGGATGTTCAGGCTATAAAGGAGTGCTGAACTGGCTTAGTGCAAACTCTGTTCAGAATATAATAAATATAATGACAGACAGTAAACAAACCATAAAAACTATAACCTCTACAACAGTTTACCCTTGTAAAAAAAAAAACTTTTGGTCTGTTCCCGTACTGCAAGAATCTACTCGATTTTACTACTTTCTTAGATATCATAAAGGAAAATTCGTTATCGTAGTAAAAAGTAGTAGATTCTTGCAGTACGGGAACAGACCATTTATTAGAATGTATGTCATATAAGAATAATAGGAAACGAAATAGCAAATATACTCGCTAGAAGTGAGACCGACAGACCTATAATAGATGTAAATATTTAGTGCAACGCATCTAGAACTAAGGTCATGGGCAACGAAAAACCCACAGAATTATTTGGAATAGCGAGGGAACTGGGATGAATACAAAAATTTTATGGGGAGACGAGGATAAGACGAAGCCTATTTTTAAACTAAACAAAAGTGAAATCAGCACACTGACCGGTATTCCCACAGGACATAACAGCCTGCGGGCCCATTTACATGATTGGATTCGAGGAAAGCAAGCGTGTGGAGACAGCGAAACGTTAGAGCATTTACGACCGACCTAAGGGTATGTGAATGGAAAAAACTGAAGGACTGAAGTCACTAACAAAACAGAATTTCTAGACGTCTAGGACAATGAAAATTATAATGATAGACTTTGTCGAAAATAAGGTTTTACAGGCGACCATGTACTAACCGTCAATGATCATCGACAATACACCTATCGGGATCAGTTATATCAACCATTAACAATCATTGGTTATTCTGTCCCCGGTTGAGTATTTCCTTCATATTTGCATTTTTAAACACTTGCGAAATTATCCAAAGTGGTTAAATATTGGATTTCTTTGCAGGACACTTTTTTGACGACCCCGAAGTGTACGATAGATGCGATTGTGCAACAAGCGACAGTATTGATCTGATGTCTATTCTGATGTTTAAAAACACAATGACGGATATGGAATGTAATTCCATTCCAATTAAGGACATTCTTACAGAAACTTGTCATTATATCTGTTATATATATATATATATATTATCGATCTTTCCGCCTTTTATATCCTTGAGATCGTTCAAATCCACACCAAGTCTTAACATAACGCAGTAACCGGTCCATTTACGAGAAATACATATTTAAAATTTTACGTTTTTTGATGTATGTATATCTTCATCTATCAGCCACAATTTTAATTTTATGTGCGAATATTTCTGGACCATTTTCCCCACTGTACATTGGCAGCTATAACAAATTACTTTTGCATACATCCACGTTTTACAGCATAACCGAACCTAAAGTATTTTGTATGTAATTCTGTTATTGTTTAGATGCAGATTAAGTGGGGTTTTGTTAAGGGTTTACAGTTTGTTTTCCTCGACTGCCTCAGCGTAGTAGCTGCTTTTGTGTTTGTTGCTTTTTTCTCTTCTCTTTTTCGTTTTTCTATAACGGCTTAAGTTAATGCTGAACATCAAAAACAAAACAAACAAAAAAAAAATGTTGATGACGATGATGACGACGATAATATCAACAACGACAACATCACCTACATCAACAAGGATAACGACTGGGGAATAGAGACATCGAACTGAGAGATAGAGTGCATGGAAGGGATATGAAAATACAATCAATTTGAAAGCAAAATGTTTACATAACGCCACGTAATATAACTGAGGTGAGCTTACAAAACGGAGTTTGGAAGGAAACTTCAAATTAATTGACGACATAATATTCGAAGGATTTTCTTTTCAGCTTTGTTATTATATAAAATCTATGAGGAGAAAAGCCACGAAGAAAGAGTTACAAAATGACAAGAAAATTAATATAAAGGGAAATTTACGTTTTAGATAAGAAAGTATTTAATTAATACATAACAGTGTATTAAATTATGTTATCGATATATTATAATAATTGAGATATAATATTATTGGGGGTGATTTGGAATGAAGCTTATGCAAGTTGTTTGGTGGTTATTCTGTGTCGGCTTATTTTATCGAACGGGTAGAGGTATTCGAAAGTAGATATAAGAGTAAGCTCACCGGGGCCACGGTTCGTAACAGAAAATTTGTTTGTGTGCGAGAGAGAAAGACGAGTGTTTTAAGTTTTATAACGTTTATTTCGTACGCAATGGAGGTAAATACAAAGGAAACATAGATATTGCTTAATACTACTGAGTTGACGTCTGTCCGAGGTTGGGTGGGTAACTTTAGCCGTCTTTCGAAATGGAGACCTGGATAAGTACTCCTGGTGGGGAATGTACTCCACAACAGGATACTCTCACTAGGATTTGGATTTTCCAGTTACGTAGGTCTATTGGGTGAATACGCTAGGGGATACGCAAGGATTCTTCTGCAAGAGACCTTAATAAGTACTCAGGCAATGATACGTAAGGATTCTACTGCAAGAGACCTTAATAAGTACTCAGGCAAGGATACGAAAGGATTCTACTGCTAGAGACCTTAATAAGTTCTTAGGCAAGGATACGTAAGGATTCTACTGCAAGAGACCCTAATAAGTACTCAAGCAAGGATACGCAAGGATTCTACGGCAAGAGACCTTAGTAAGTACTCAAGCAAGGATACGAAAGGATTCTACTGCGAGAGACCTTAATAAGTACTCAAGCAAGGATACGTAAGGATTCTACTGCAAGAGACCTTAATAAGTACTCAAGCAAGGATACGAAAGGATTCTTAGGCAAGAGACCTTGGTAGGTACTCAAGCAAGGATACGAAAGGATTCTACTGCGAGAGACCTTAATAAGTACTCAGCCAAGGACACGTAAGGATTCTACTGCAAGAGACCTAAATAAGTTCTCAAGCAAGGATACGTAACGATTCTACGGCAAGAGACCTTAGTAAGTACTCAAGCAAAAATACGAAAAGATTCTACTGCGAGAGACCTTAATAAGTACTCAAGCAAGGATACGAAAGGATTCTACTGCGAGAGACCTTAATAAGTACTCAAGCAAGGATACGTAAGGATTCTACTCATGCAAGGATACGTAAGGATTCTACTCATGCAAGGATACTCAAGGATTCTACTTAGGCAAGGATACGGAAGGATTTCTTTGGGAATAGGAACCTGGATAAGTACCCTAGGATGGCTATCAGAATTATCATACAATGTATCACTCACCTGGGTTGGATGTGTCTTCTGTCGAGGTCTGGCAGTGACTGTCCCTTCTCACTCGTTGATCTCCCTTTTATAGCAAGCCCCAACCACGTGTTCTAACGTGTATTTTGTTGTTTTCTTTTGACCGAGACAAAGAAGAAGGGGTTTTAGAATATTTTTATACCCTTCACCACGCTGTGGTACAGGGTATTATGTCTTTGTGCATATGTTTGTAACAGGCAAAAATAATTGATATGGTTCCTTTTGATTTAGAATCACTTCGACGAAATTTGGTACACAAAGTAATCATTTAGGCCTATATGATGATGTCTGCCAATTTTCGAAATTGAAAATCGGTCCAGATTTAGATATAGCTCCCATATATATTTCGTCCGATTTCATGTAAATGGTGCCCCAAAGTCCCTATATATCTTTTTATTTGCACGAAATTTGGCATAACGTACTGAATTAAGCCTAGAGTGTTGTCTGCCAAGTTTCGTGAAAATCGGTCCAGATTTAGATATAGCTCCCATATATAGTTTCGTCCGATTTCATATAAATGGTGCCCCAAAGTCCCTATATATCTTTTGATTTGCACGAAATTTGGCATAACGTACTGAATTAAGCCTAGAGTGATATCTGCCAATTTTCGTGAAAATCGGTCCAGATTTAGATATAGCTCCCATATATAGTTTCGTCCGATTTCATGTAAATGGTGCCCTAATGTTCTTATATATCTTTTGATTTGCACGAAATTTGGTATAACGTACTGAATTGAGCCTAGTATGACGTCTGCCAAGTTTCGTGAAAATCGGTCCAGATTTAGATATAGCTCCCATATATAGCTTCGTCCGATTACATGTAAATGGTGCACCAAAGCCCCTATATATCCTTCGATTTGCACGAAATTTGGCATAACGTACTTAATTGAGCCCAGAATGATGTCTGCCAAGTTTCGAGAAAATCGGTCCAGATTTAGATATAGCTCCCATATATAGTTTCGTCTGATTTCATGTAAATGGTGCCCTAATGTTCTTATATATCTTTCGATTTCCACGAAATTTGGTATAACGTACTGAACTGAAGCTAGAATGATGTCTGCCAAGTTTCGACAAAATCGGTCCAGATTTAGATATAGCTCCCATATATAGCTTCGTCCGATTACATGTAAATGGTGCACCAAAGTCCCTATATATCCTTCGATTTGCACGAAATTTGGTATAACGTACTGAATTGAAGCCCAGAATGATGTCTGCCAAGTTTCGACAAAATCGGTCCTGATTTAGATATATCTCCCATATATAGTTTCGTCCGATTTCATGTAAATGGTCCACCAAAGTCCCTATATATCCTTCGAGTTGCACGAATTTGGCATAACGTACTTAATTGAGCCTAGAATGATGTCTGCCAAGTTTCATGAAAATCGGTCCTGATTTAGATATATCTCCATATATAGTTTCGTCCGATTTCATGTAAATGGTGCCCCAAAGTTCCCTATATATCTTTTGATTTGCACGAAATTTGGTACAGCCTACTGATTTATGCCTAGAATGATGTCTGCCAAGTTTCGTGAAAATAGGTCAAGATTTACATATAGCTCCCATATATAGTTTCGTCCGATTTCATGTAAATGGTGCACCAAAGTCCCTATATATCCTTCGATTTGCACGAAATTTGGCATAACGTACTGAATTGAGTCTAGAATGATGTCTGCCAAGTTTCGAGAAAATCAGTCCAGATTTCTATATAGCTCCCACATATAGTTTCGTCCGATTTCATGTAAATGTTGCACCAAAGTCCCTATATATCTTTCGTTTTGCACAAAATTTGGCATAACGTACTGAATTGAGCCTAGAGTGATGTCTGCGTTGTTTCGTGAAAATCGGTCCAGATTTAGATATAGCTCCCTTTTATTATAGATTGATTTTAAGTAATTGACGCACCAAGAACCAATAGGAACAAAACGTTCTGAAATTAGTATAACCTATCCTGTCACTAGTTTGTTTGAAATCGCTTAATATTTGGATAGAGCTTCCATATATATTTTCGCCCGATTTCAAGTAAATTGGGCATCAAACTCCTCATGTTAGTCAGTTTGACATCAAATTTTGCACAACGTACAAAATTGAGCATAGAATTATGTAGTTGCGTTTTCTAGAAGTACAGGCATAGCCCAACGGATGACCCATTTATATTTGTTTGAAGTCGATTTACATACTTTATGGATAGATCTACGTAGATTAACATTTAGATAAATATCACATATTTTATTTCATCCAATTTCATGCTAATAGTCCTGTTTAATATACCCATAGTGGTGAAGGGTATCATATAGTCGGCCCCGTCCGACTTTACTACTTTCCTTACTGGTTATATTTATTAAGCAAAAGAACAATACATGGTGTGGGCAAAATTGAGTGCAACCTTTCGATTGTGTTAGTACAACTGGCTGCAAACTAAAGTCCATTTGGTTGAAAAACTTCCATTAATAATTTTTGGTAAGAGTATGTACTACACAAAGCGAACCCAAAGTACCAAATTACAGCAAATTTGAAGGTGACTCTAATATCTTCTTATTGTAATATCATGCTAAATACGACATTTTATATGATTATCTTTAAATTACTAAAAATTGTCAGGTTCGTTATAATCACCAGTTAGATCTGCGTAATTGACCGCCATTTCATGTCAATATTTTGAGTCATGTCAATGATATAAAAATTTAAATTATTTTTTTTTTTAACATTGGACTCTTGGCCCATAGTGCCGCGTATAAATACAGGAATACGTAAATCAAATCATAAATTATATAAATGTGCTTCCTATTACTCAGAATTACCTTTCAAATGACGTCCAATTGAAGTAACGCTTTGAAGGCAATAACCTATTTTTACAACGTTTACAATAGCATTTATAAATGATTTTATGTTTGTAACATTACTACACAGTTTTTTTCGATTTCACGTAATTAATATTCTGTAAAAATAACCCCCCATAACTTTAATAAATTTTCCTTCCAGCTCCTCATTTTAGTTGTTCGATACTTAAGTATCCATTTGTTCGATTTTATTTTATTTTCAGTTGGTATCGAGAGGGCAGTACAGTGGCGTTACAGTCGTACATCTTGAAGGGCGGATCCAAAAATCACTATACAAATGCCACGCTGCAGATACTGCCCCGGCGGGTCGATGATGGCGCCAAATACAAATGCGTTGTTTGGAATCGTGCCATGACCGAGGGTCATACTCTGGAAACAACTGTCGCCCTAAATGTGAACTGTAAGTACGCAACGAAAAATTAATTGCTTTTGCCTCATTCAACAGCTACAAATGCAACTTTACAAGTTGTATACTACGTTGCAATAATATACAATTGTAGAATGTAACACAAGGATATATCATCAGAGAGTGAGAGAGAGTGTGTGTATGAGTCTGTGTTTGAATGTTACGTTAAGTTTTGTATGAAAATGTGTCTGCAATAAACTTGTGTCCGATTTACTTGTTAAGGTATGTTTGGCCCCGTTTGCCCAGGATGTTTGCAAAAACACACGTACACGCGCACACACACACCGCTACTCATGCTCATATCCTGTAAAACAGATACACATACACATCCCTATATACACCCTATTACTTCACATCGAAGCAATGAAATATCCTTTGAGCACAATATCCTTCTAAACAACAGCAACAACAACAAACTTTTATATTATATTTAAACATGATATTGCTGTTGCTGCTGTTAACGTTGATGCTACTGTATGGCACAGAACTTTAGCAAAAGAAGGATATTATTTTGAAAGAATGATTTATTTCAGTTCTGTTTTTTCTTCTTCTTTACTTACATCGATAAAGGCCAAATGTTTAAGTAATAGAATGACTACAAGATTTTTAATATTGGTATTTACTTCATATAAAAATTTATAAAATATGAACTTTTTGCATACAAGCCGAAGTGATGGAGTGCCGCATACTGCTGTTGCGTATGTAATATACATTTTTGACAATGTGTGTAGAAATGCTCAATATGGAAATATGCCTTTCTGTAAAACATAACTTTAACAATTTTGTAACATTTCCATACGTTGAGGCGGTGCACCATTCTTCATCTCCGTCCTGAAAGACCATGGACTGAGAGCAGACATTGTAGTAAGAGTGAAGGATAGCGAACAAAAAAAAAATCAACTTAAACTAAAAGTATTAAAATTTGTACAGACTTTCCATAGAAGATAGTAACTAGTTCCGAGTAGACAATGAATGTCTGACAATAAGTGACATACCAGGCCACAGGATGTCTAACAACTTTATATATTTTATGAAACAAAAAAAGTTTATTTGAAATTTAAATGCATGCCCTTAGAATGTATGCATATGAGATACAGTGGAATAGAGTAAAATCGTCTCTTTGATATACATTATATGGTAGTATTCGGAACGGATAGAGTTCTTTGAAAAAAATTATAGTTAAAGGTTTATAAATATGTTGCAGCCTATTTATATCCTTCACCACACTGTGGTACAGGGTATTATGTCTTTGTGCATATGTTTGTAACAGGCAAAAATAAACGAGATAGACACATGATTCCTTTTGAGAATATGCATAGAATCACTTTCTAAGTCGATTTATGCATGTCCGTGCGTCTGTCTGTTGATGTTAAATTGTAAACAAAGTGCAGGTCGCATTTTTAATCCGATTTGACTGAAATTTGGTACAGCGCATTTTTTTGGCCCAAGGACGAACCCTATTGAAAAATCGGTTCAGATTTAGATATAGCTCCCATATATATTTTTGTCCGAATTTTGGCATAGCGTACTGAATTATGTCCAGAATGATGTGTGCCAAGTTTCGAGAAAATCGGTTCAGATTTAGATATAGCTCCCATATATAGTTTCGTCCGATTTAAGGTAAATGGGGCACCAAAGTCCCTCTATTTCTTTCGATTTGCATGAAATTTGGCACAGAGTACTGAATTAGGTTCAGAATGATGTGTGCCAAGTTTCGAGAAAATCGGTTCAGATTTAGATATAGCTCCCATATATAGTTTCGTCCGATTTAAGGTAAATGGTACACCAAAGTCCCTATATATCTTTCCATTTGTACGAAATTTGGCATAACGTACTGAATTGATCCTAGAATGATGTCTGCCAAGTTTCATGAAAATCGGTCCAGAATTTTGTGTGCCAAATTTCGTAAAAATCGGTTGATATTTAGATATAGCTGATATGAAGTAATTAACGCACCAAGAAACCAATATATGGCTGATAGGAACTAAACGTACCGAAATTAGTATAACTTAACCTGTGACAAGTTTCGTTGAAATCGTTTCATATTTGGGTATAGCTTACATATTTAATTCGTCCGATTTTAAGTAAAATGTACATCAAACTCCTCATGTTTGTCAGATTGACATCAAATGTTGCGCAACGTGTGCGCCTAGAATAACGTAGTTTCGTTTTCTAGAAGTCGATTTGTTTAAAGTCGATATTCATAATTTTGTGGTGAAGGGTATCATATAGACGGCCCCGTCCGACTTTACTACTTTCCTTACTGGTTTTCTAAGAGTACCGATACACTTTTCCCTGAAAATAGTGTTTTGACCTTCAAAATATTTATAATTTGGACAAAGGATTTATCGAAAAAAAAAAAACAAAATAAAATCCGTTCCGATTATGCCAATGGCAACATTAATGGCCTAATAATTAATTTTCTTTTTGTTGGCTTGTCCTGCACAGCACCATGTAACTCTAAAGAATTTTATCGGCATATATCGCATATAAAGAAATAATAGAATAGTAGTGCTAGAAGTTATCCATGCCATACAAAAACTTTGACGGGGATCTTTTCATTGATATCCTAGTAAGTTAACCCTTTGAGCCCCGAATTTTTTCCCGCAATCTTAGAACAAATTTGAGTTCACAGATTTGAAGCAACTATCCTAAATAGGATATGCACAAAAATTGACATCGCTACGTCCTTGCATTCGGGAGATACAGTACATTCTTTCGGAATAATTGAAGTCCAATATCAAGGAAACCAAATGCAAAATAGACAGAAAAATTATTTTAAATTTTTCTCTATATTCATTTTTACAAGAATCAAAAAAATCTGATGGCAGAATTCATACATTTTGAATACGAAGCGATTTAAATAATTTGGACTATATACACAAATAAGTACTGTACACAAATTTACCCTCTTCTCTATATTGAAGAGCTCACAACTTTACCAACATTTTGAATATTTTTGAATTTTCTTTTGATTTGCGTATTCTTATCGATGGCTTCATTGATGCTGTTGAGAAGATATCGTTCCAATAAAGGACGAGGGACATTATTAACGATCTATTTCAATGTTGGCACCACCGAATATATAGAGAAGTTGGCGATGTTGAGGCATCGCATGATGGCTTACGCAGCTGTCTTCAATGTGATATCCGGTATTTGAACAATCCCCCTCGAGCAATCCCTTCGAACTTTTGATATGGTATATCTCGATCAACAATCCTATAACACTGCATCTCATGGCGTCCGTTTTAGTTGCATTACAAAATTACCAAGTTGTACCAAATATTACTTCCAGATATTCCAAATTTCGCCAATATGTCCTCCGCTTGATAAATATCCTTCTGTGGTAACTTATTACCTCTCAGTTCCTTCCATTGCCACGAGATTTAAAAAATGTTTGTCAGTATGTATATTATCTGCTTGATTCAGTTCTACCAATTAACTACTCGGTTGCCTTTTTGGATACATTGTCAATGAGGTTTCAAAATGTTAATTATTGTTTTTTTTTTTATTTTGTTCTATTCAATACTAATTTTAGAATGTGAAAATTCAAATGAAAATCTCAACAACTCCTGGAAATATAGCAGATGCATTGTGTCTGCTAGCTGTGTGAAGGAGGTGAGATATGAAGGATATTTACCGACTACATTGCAGGATATTGTATTTCTAGAACCCTCAATTTTAGATTTTCATAATACTATTGAGATTAAGTATTCGTTATAGGAATACTGGAAATTCAGAAATATACAAATCTAAATTGACTTCATAAATAACAGGAAATGAACTATCCCATATTCAGCATTTTAAATGTCTTTTTGTTCTGTCTCCACTAAGGCATACTTCTATTGTTGTGTGGGTGTGTATATATGCATGTATCCTCATGTTCATGTATTATGTTATGTGAAGCTAATATTCTGACACTTAAAGCTTATAATACTACCACAATCACACACACACTCACAAGTCCTCTTAAATGCATACTAATGAAACTTAACAAAGCTTCAGCTAGCAACCGCTCACATAGAACATAAGCAATAAATGAACCACATACGTCACTTTCTCACAGAGGGGTGCCTGGTCTATTGTTTGCAAATTCTAAGCCAATGCAAATTAGAGTGACTGTCACATTCTTCAACTTGAAAGTAGTCCTCGTAGCAAGAAACAGGAAACCAAAAACCATGCTGACTTAATTCGCACGATTCAGAACTTAAATCGAAGAATTCTACATCATACACACGCACCAACACACCCAGCAACATTCAACACCTCTGCGAGTGAGTGCGTGTGTGTGTGATATGTGAGAAGAGCAACGGTGACCACAGCAGGAAGATATTTAATTACGTAGTAACTGGTGTTTCATTTTGAACGAAATCACATCGAAATCAAGTGAGCTTTGGCTTGTTGTGCGCAACACTTTTAGCTAACCAGATGGAGAGTGGGAGAGAGGTAATTGCAATGAACGATTGGTTTGGCAGAATAACAAGATTTTCCACGAATTAACATTTGCAATTGTTAGGCCTTTCTTAAAGTGAAATAATTTGAATTTCAATTAAAACACAAAAGTGAATATTTCGAATACGAAATTCAGAAAATCGTTGACTAGAAGAAGAAGAAAGAATCAAATACATAGCAATGAAGTGGAATAAATCATTATGAAACATCTGTCAGATATAAGACTCATATCATCAAAACAAACTGCAATTCACAATGGTAAATATAATAAAACGGTTTGATTGAGACCGGATACCTGATAAAAATATTCGTTCATCCTTTAAAATACTGATACCAGATCAAAGAAACTCTAATTCATTGTGTTGGATCAATGCGACTTTAAGATCTGTAAAACGTCTATCATTAAACCATTATTCCGGGCTTATATCATACCGACTAAAACCCTCTGACCCACTCAGGCGGTTTGGTCCCATTTCCCATTACTTCTAGAATGAACCCATATGAGGTTGTGTACCGTATATCTAAATTTCGCATCCGAGATC